GTGTGTGAACGCATGACAACTCCATACATAGCAGCACCGGGTTCACCCAATTCAAGGTGACTATAGGACAAGACTTTGTGTCCATGCCTGAATTTCCCCTGACTGCTCTTCCTATTACATCTCTGAAGGACTGGGTTACTTGGTTACAGAATACCTGGCCAGTGGTTAGAAAAACAATGGAAGAGGCAAGAGAGACTTATAAAAACATGCAGATAAAAATGAATGAAGCCGAAAGACTTTAAAGTAGGGGACTGTGTTTATCTTTCCACAAAGTACCTACAGTCCAGACAACCTTCCAAAAAACTGGCCCTTTCCCCATTAAAAGGATTGCCAACCTGGTCACAGTTGAACTAGAGTTGCCAAAATCTCTTAGGCACATTCACCCAATTTTCCACACCAACCTCCTAAAGCCAGAAAACCTGTCCCCCCTGCACCCGATGCTGCCACTACCACCAGAACCACTCATGATTGAGGGGGAACAACATTTAGAGATTAAGGACATTTTAGTCTCTCACAAACATCAAGGAAAGCTCCAGTCTTTAGTTGCATGGAAACTGAATGGATAGACCTTAAACGTGTTAAAGTGATTAAACTGATAAAACACTTCCACAACCAATATCTTGATAAACCAAAATAACTCACTTATCTAACCATGCATCTATCTTGTTTCTCTCTCTCTCTCTCTCTCTCTCTCTCTCTCTCTCTCTCTCTCTCTCTCTCTCTCTCTCGTCTTTCCGTTTGTTTTGCAGGACTAATGTTTTTGTCAAGGTGGGGCAGCATGTCAGATCCACCATCTTTGGCTTGGCGCCTTGCTGACATTCTGACATCAACGAACTGGAGAAAGGAAGGGGGAGCAAATGGGTAATAGAAATGTATACTTTTATGGTAGGAAATTGGGAGGGGGGATTGACAGTTGAAGAAGAACAGAGCCTTTTGGAATTCGGTTCATGCTGGCATCTTCAAGGACGTTTAACCTGAGAATGGAATTTCACCAACCTAAATACCTCAGCACTTCCCAAAACATGTCAGCGGTGCCGGATTGGCTACACACAGATGGACTATGGGGGAAGGGCTGGGGAAATCAAGGGGTTAATTTTGTATTGATCCATGGGAACTTCAGATTCTGCCTGACTCTACTGCAATCAGCATCTCTTAGTAAAAGTACCTTTAGCTTTAATCAAATGGAATCACAAGTTTTACTTCCCTGGGGGATCAGAATGGGGCAGGTATGACAACCATGCAAAATGTGGCACTTCATTTGTACCTATGTTACACATGCAATGAGCACTAAAAATAAGATGAAGCTTCATCATAGCCACCATCTTGACTTTTTGACTCCCCACACCTCATTCCAAACCTGAACAAACTTACATATCATGGAAGTCCACACAGCCTATCTGAGTTGGAAACAGCATCATTATCTTGGTATCAAGAAAGGGCAGCAAGCGCACAAGTTTGATTTGGAACAGGTCTTTCAGGGAGGGTGAGCAAAGATCAGGAAAGCTGTGGTTGATCTTGGTCAGAATGGTCTCCAGGGCAAGAGACGCAGCTTTTTGGTCAAGCAGGAGGTCAAGTGGTGATCTGGACAACTCATCCAGGAAGCCCTCTATATAAAGGACATCCTGGCTGCTGAGGGCTTTGGCAACAGGTTCCATTAGGGTGAAGTTGGCAAGGACCTCATGAGTGACAATCAGTTGGGACAGCTGGGAAGCAGTAAGGACATCGAGAGCAGCAAACTAGAAAGACATGAAGAGAAGAGAGTGAGAATGGTGCACCCCAGGGAAACTTTCACTGGCTAAGCTGAACTACAGTAGCTAAAGAGAAACATAGCTAGTTGGCTGTCTTGTGTGACCTATGAGCATAAAAGCAAAATAATTATTTTGATGATCAAATACCTCCAATATGTGCCAAGAACTGTTAAGGAACATGGATTGGCCCAGTGGGTTGATATGAAGATACAAATAAGCATTCTTTTTCATGATAATTTGTATTTATTTCCATACATTTCCAAGCATGTGCAGAATTCTTGTTGATTTTTTTTAAGAGCAAGTGAGTCTGAGATTACCTTTCACTTTGGCTGAAGTAGCATCTCTTTAAAAACAGACCACAGTACTTCTGTATGTGACTGGAGTGCCTTGACCTTAGGACAAGAAGCTCACAGTATTTATTTAGTGTTATAGTATCTGTTGCATGTGCAAAAGGTTTTGCTAATTGAAATTCTTTATCAAAGGGCAATACATTGAAGAGAAAACAACCTTACCCCATCAAAACCACTCCAGATCTTTGTGAAGTCATTATAGGAGGCATAATTTTGAAAGCTCTTCCAATTGTTTTGTATCCATTCTTTATGTGATCTTTTCTGGCACCCTGAAAGGCAATATAAAGGAATATAAAAAGAAATTGGAGGGGACCTGATGTTGGTAGAGTACTTTTTGGTTTAGTAGAGCACCTTTCTGTGTAATTGGGCCATAATTTCCATAATTACCAACCATCCACCTGATTACTGGGAATTCTCACAGTTTAGATTTGCTGAGACTGAGATCACTGGTCCAGATTCTCCAAATTAAGTGAAGTGCACAATGGAGCACATTTTATTTATTAAACTTCTACACCATCCATCTCACCTAAGTAACTTAAGCATATACTCAAAAGCAGATACTCAGTCTCCTTGGCAGGCACTTAGAATCAATATTTTTTTTTAAGAAGTATCACATAGTTCTCTTTAGCAACAGTCTGAGCAAATTCACCACAAGAATTCCAGCAGCTAGGAGCTTCCTGTGGCGAGGCGCCGCCGAGGGAGGCTTTTTTCTTAGCCACCAGCCCGGGACTGCGTCAAAGCCGTCAAAACAGCGCGGATCAGCTGTTTTGCGGCTCGGAACTTTCTCCCTGGGCGAAGGGGAGAAAGTGAGTTTGGTTGGGATAGGGGTTGAGTTCCCTAGTCCCCCCAGGGAGAACTCCCCCAGAGTCCTAACCTCTTCTCCGCAGCTCGGTGTGTCTTCGTTCCTCGGAGCGAAGCCAAACGTCGCCGCCACTGCTGTTACATTGTAGCTGCTTGTGAGTAACTTTTGAAACAGACGGAATCTGACAGGGGATCTTTATTTTAGTTAAAAAGTGACTTTAACTCGAAGATTTCCTTGGGATTTTTTGCTTGCTATAAGTGAAAGTGACAAGAAAATGGCCGCGGAAGCATTCCTTCTTCTTAACAAAAGGAAAACTTTCACTTTCTTTCTGGTTGTGGATTTTAAAGGATTTTAATCTTTTTTAATTTAAAATCAAGTTTTTTAAGTTTATATTTGCTGTGACTTTCAAAAAAAAAATAGTTTGGCAGAATGGCTTCAAAACGTACTGTTCCTGCGTTGTCCAAAACAGCTATTTCTTCTCCTGTGGTGCAAACTCAACAACAAAAATCTAGATCTCCCCCAGCAACACCTCCTCTCTCCATTACACTCAAAGATTTACAAGAGGCTTTAGCCAAGTCCTCATTGCAGACTTTGAAACAAACAGAAGAACTTTTGGATAAGAAAAATCAGGAACTTTGTGAAATTTATCATATATTTTCCAAGGACTTGCCACTCACATTGATCGGGTAGAGGGACGAGTGGATGAATTAGTGGAGAAAATGGAGGGAACGGAGGACAGACTTGAAAAGGTAGAGGAAGGAGTGGAAACTTTTCAAAATGATATGTTACTAATGTAGTACAAACAATTAGAATTTGCTCTGAGAATCAGGGGTCTTACAGAGGACCCACAAGAAAAACTTAAAGAGGAAGTGGTGACAGCTTTGGCCCGGGCATTGAATTGCAATCCAGAGGTGATTTATGGAGAAATAGAAATTTTTTTAGAGTGAACTCCTGGGTTGCACGTCAAAGAAATTTACCTAGAGATGTGGTTGTTCATTTTACTACAAGAATACGTCGTAATGAAATTATACAGCTTTTTTATCAGCAGAGGTTTCAAATTGCCACACAAGATATTATACTTTTAAAAGAAATACCCTCTAAGATTTTAAGAGGAAGAAAGGATTTTACATTCTTGACTCAGGAGTTAAAGAAGCGGCAGATACCTTTCAGATGGGAAATTCCTTTGGGTGTTATATTAAATTTTGCAGGGACCAGACATAGATTAAATTCTGTTCAAAAAGCCAGAGATTTTTATATGTCGGTCCTGAAAGCTGATATGTCGTCATCATCGACACCTAAAGCACAGGAAGATCTGATGGAGCAACCTGTTGTGGATTTGCCTGGGGCCATGTCGTCATTATCTGTAGAAGATCCTCAGAAGGAGCAAAGGATGACCCGTGCTGCTTATAGGCGTAAGGAGAGACAGCAACAAAAAGAAATAGTTTCTATAACATTTCCACAGCCTTCGGAGCCAGTGAGTGGGGCGAGGCCAAAGAGAGCAGCTGCCACAGACATGCAAGGAATGCTTAACAAGCTTTGTCAGCCAAAAGATGGATAGATGCTGGAAATGAGACTTTATTATGGAAATGGAACAAATTAGTTTATATGTTTGTAAAGAACTGTTTGTTCTTTTTCTTCTTTTTTTTCTGAAAAAGGTAAAAAATTAAGACTGGGATTTTATTTTTATTTTTTTTTCCAGCTGTGAAGCAGGAGGTATTGATTTAAGATTTTATTGAAAGTATAGATTGGAGAGGGAAGAAAGTGAAGGGAAAATTTAAGTGTAAAATGCAAGGAAAAAAATATGTAAAGTTTAAATGTTGAAGGTGGATAGGTTATATTAGATGTATGGAGTGATTAAATGTTATATAGCTTTTGAATAGATGTATTGGTTTTTAATTAATTTTAATTAATTTAATTGCCTTATTAGAGTTAAAGTAGGTATATGTTGATAGTATTATATTTGTTTAGTTAAATTGTAAGTTAGATTTGGAATGATTTGTTTTAGTCCTGTATTTGGTTCTGGGAAGCTCAGGGGGGGGAAGGGGTTTAGAAGTATTAAAATAAAATTGATGTATTCATATGTTATAATTGTATCGACAAGAGGAAACGCTCGGTTGGTACCCCGGCTTGCACTCGAGGAGGTGGCCAGGAAGAGGGGGGATGTAGAAAGGGGAAGGAGGAAGAAGGAGAGGTTGTGGGTCAGAGGCAGGAAGGAAAGGCAAGTGGATGAGGGCGGAGGCAGGTCGGGGACTGCCGAGCGTTTCTGATAATGTATTGAGTTGGATTGTTTTTCTTTGTGTGTGTTTGTGTTATAAATGCATCATATTACTTATTGTTTAATTATAAAAATCAATAAAATTTTATTATAAAAAAAAAAAAGAATTCCAGCAGCTAAATTTTTTGATTTACCTGTGATTTATTAAGGAAGTGGACCTTTTCACAGGTAATAGGGAACTAGTGGCTTGCTTATATTAGTCTCCTGAATCAGTGTGTGAAGAACACTTAATGAAACATAGGAAGTTATTTCTAAGATAGGCTGAGGTGTGTTAATGACCAAATTGTGCTTTTCATGGAATTATAACTTATTTCAAATGTGAATCAGCCCTTCATTGCTCTGTGTCTCCCACTCCTCCACTTACGGAATACAGTAAGGAATCTTCCAATCCAGCTGGCCACCAACTGTCTTGTGCTGTTATCCATGTCAGGGTACACACTGTCTAAGGCCTGGACACTAATGAAAGGAAGAAAAATAATCAAAATGTGCATATCCAATGAATATAGATATGCTACAAACATTCCTTCTGTGGATAGTGATCTTTAGGATTTGAATTTTAGTTCCCATCTCACCTGTTTCATCTGAATTCTAGCCTGCACTAAGTCTCTACTGTAGATTCTATATTTTGTCTGCAATATCTAGACAACTATTTGGAATATATGGGAGGGTTATGCATAATTTGCAAATGCCTCTGCAAATGTCCTCAACACAAAGAGTATAGAAATTAATACTTTTCTGAATTTTGCAGTGCACTTTGGAACTTGGTTAGCTTAGAGCAGCGGCCCCCAACTTTTTTGGCACCAGGAACTGGTTCCGTGGAGAGAGGTTTTCCCATGGATCAAAGGGGACGTGGCTTTGTATGCTGCCTGCATCCTGCAGATGGGGCTTCGCTTGTTTGCTGGCATACCGCTGACTAGTGCCGGTTCACAGTTGGACACCCCTGGCTTAGGGGACATGCACACCAGGACAAAGGGCAAATTCTTCACAGAAATTGTTGCATTCAGAGTGATGAGCCTGAAAATGCATTGTAATATAGTGGGCAAACTTTTAGATACCTATCTAAAGAGCCATCTGTGGGTAAAAAAATTGAAATATAGATCCCATAGATATTCAATAAATGAGTCATATGATAGCAACAAAAATCAAATTTGTACAACTGTATCTGTCATCTCTCCCTTAGTCTTATATAAAGTGGCAAACATTCAGATGGCTGCAGGGGCTGAGGAGATTGTTGTAACATTTAGGAGGGAGGAGGGGGAATGATTTTGTTGGTAAAGGAGGGTGAAAGTGGCTTAATTATTCTTCCCCTTTTTAAACTATTCTTTTTTGCACTTCTTCCTTTCTCTTTTTTCTTTTTTCTTTTATACTTCTGAATTTGTCTTTTAGCTGGGTAAAAGCTTTTAATAAGAAATAATTTAAAAAACCAATTCAAATAGTTGCTACATACATTGTTCTGAAGCCATCACAGCTGATCGGAATTTGAGTCATGCAGTCTAAGATGTTGGTGTTCACATCTGTCAAGTAAGAATGCATCGTCTCTTGGAACCAAGAGGAGAGGAAGCCAGCACTCCATACTAAAGGATCTGTCTTAATTTTTTCCCATGCTGCATTCAGCAAGAATCTTTTGAAAGTTGGTAACATCTGGTCTCTGGAGATCTAAAACAGCAGGTCCATTAATCTGAGTATCTTTGGGCAAACTGATTGCTTTTATGTATGCTACAGGAAAGCAGAAGGAAAATAAAGCCCCCTCTTATTAATTTCCAATGAAACAGAATAATAGAGTTGGAAGGGACCTTGGAGGTCTTCTAATATAAGCCCCTGCTCAAACAAGAAACCCAATAACATTTCAGATAAGTGGCTGTCCAATCTCTTCTTAAAAACCTACAATGATAGAGCACCCACTACTTCTGAAGGCAAGCCGTTCCACTGATTAATTGTTCTCACTATCAGGAAATTTCTCCTTATTTCTAAGTTGGATCTCTCTTTGATAAGTTTACATCCATTGATTCTTGTCCTGCCCTCGGGTGCCTGAATAGGTTGATCCCCTCTTCTTTATGGCAGTCCCTTGGGTATTTGAAGAGTGCTACCAAGTCCTTCTCTTCCTTAGACTAGACATACCCAGTTCCTGCAACCGTTCAACATGATTTAGTCTCCAGTACAGTGGTGGGATTCAGCCGGTTCGCACTACTTTGGCAGAACCAGTAGCTAATTTTTTGTTGCCCAGACCCAAAATGGACTTCCAGAAGCAGCATCTACACAGAGAACCGGTTGTTCACATATTTGAATCCCACCACTGCTCCAGTCCCCTAATCATCTGTGTTGCTCTTCTCTTTCTAGAGTCTCAATATCTTTTTTGTATTGTGGCAACCAAAACTGGATGCAGTATTCTAATTGTGGTCTTATCAAGGCATTATAAAGTGGTACTAACACTTCATAGAAATAGAATAGAATAGAATAATAACTTTAATGTCACTTTGAATGTATACTAATTGGCATACATAAAAATGAAATTTCGTTTCATATAGCTCTCAAAGGGTCACCACCTCCGATAGACACTACATAAATATGACAAAAATAAATGAATAAATACAGAATTATGCATATACCCACATATATTATATGACACAGAGAAACAACAGTCTAGTTCGGGTTATGTATACATGTGCATGGCGAGAAACAGGAATCTTATGAGTTTACCAGACAGCATAGGGAACAAAGCTATTACAGAATTGGGTAGTCCTACTAGAAATACTTCGAAATTTCCTCCCAGAAGGGAGCAACATGATCTAGATCAGGGGTAGTCAACCTTGGCTCTTTTATGACTCGTGGACTTCAACTCCCAGAATTCCTGAGCCAGCATGGCTGGCTCAGGAATTCTGGGAGTTGAAGTCCACGAGTCATAAAAGAGCCAAGGTTGACTACCCCGGATCTAGATTCTATCTCTCTGTTAGTGCAGCGTAGGATTGCATTGGCTTTTTTGTGGCTGCAACACATTGCTCATTCATATTCAAATAGTTATCCACTAGGACTCCTAGATCACTCTCACAGTTACTACTATTGAGCTAGGTACCATCTATTCTATATCTGTGCATTTGTTTTTTCTTGCCTAGGTGTAAAAATTTACTTTTCTAACCTTGAATTTCATTTTGTTAGATAGGGCCCAGTGCTCAAGTCTATCAAGATCCTTCTGGGTCTTGAGCCTATCTTCTAAAGTATTGGCTATTCCCCCCAGCTTGGTGTCTGCAAATTTAATGAGTTCCCCTTCTATCCCCTCATCTAAATCATTTATGAAGATGTTGGAGAGTACTGGACCTAAGACAAAACCTTGGGGTACCTCATTGCATATTTCTCTTGTGATCTAGTTTGTCAAATTCCTCATTGAAGTCCAAGTATATTATGTCCACAGCATTTCACTGGTCCACTTTGTTGAAGAATGCAGTAAGATTTGTCTGGCACAATCTACTTTTGACAAACCCATGTTGGCTTCTGGCTATAACTTTGCTTGCCTATAGATGTTTGCAGATTATTGCTTATTTTTTCCAAGATCTTCTCTGGTATTGATTGGTCTATAGTTTCCTGGATCCATTTCCCCCCCCCCCCTTTGGTAGTTCCCTGATGCTCCAGGATGTTTGAAAGATATGGTTCAGTAGTTCAGAGATTACATCTGCCAGCTTCTTCAGAACCCTGGAATGTAACCCATCTGTTCCTGGTGATTTGAACTCTTCTAGAATAGATAGGTGAACCTTTACCATTTTCCTGCCTATATACTGCACTGCTTGTACCATGCTAGAAAATGATGCCACAAACTTCATTTGAGGAAGGCGTTTACTTCCTCACCTACAAACAATCAACTGAGAAACTGGGAAACAAACTTAAAGCTCAGCATAGTCTCCAGGAACTGGCAGAAATGTTCCCCCATCAGCACTGATGGCCCTGGTTGCAGTCACCTTACCTCCATGCTGATCTGATTCAGAGCATCCTGCAAAGTGCTGAGCTTGACTCTTTCAAAAAGCAGCAAGAAAGCCTCTTGATCAGGCTGGGTGGCAGGGTCCCTCAGAGAGCACATGAGAATGGAGACCAGTTTTTTTGAGGTCAGATTGGAAACCTGAAGCACAAAACCACTTTTAGTTGGTTGCATAATTTTCACTGAAAAAAGAAATGTACAAATATCAAGAGAAGCCTCAAATATCCAGTTTCATAATTCTGAAGTCGTCACCAATGTCCAGTGGGGTTGGAGACAAATGGTGACTCTGGGTCTAGTGCCTTACACACCCATTTTCATCCATACTATCATCCATTTGCTTTGGCTATATACAGAGATATACCCCATTCCTTTGTCTTCATTTTCATTCACTTTTCCCTACAGAGCTTGAGATTTCATTGGAAAAGCTGTTTCTTTCTAGTAGGATTTTTATTTCTCTAATGCAAACTGCAAATTATGGAGTCTTTTTTGTTTAAAGCATGTATTTGTGTGTGTAGGGTAATTTCTTTTTCTCCAGATGTTATCCTGAACAGGATATCTCCTCCCAATTGCCTTTTGCATTGTGAAACCCAAACTCTCTTCTTTTCTTTATGCTCTTTATTTCTATTCTGGCCATATCCTTTCTTATAATTTTCTAAATAATGATGATCTGTTGAATCAATGGTAGTTTTCCAAAAATAGATTTTTCAAACTTGTAGCAAACCAATTCCTAAGATATCCATTCCCAGGGCTGGTCAATTAAGATAAACCTTGGAGCTGAGTGCTTAATAATGCTGTCCAACTGAGCTTTCAAAATGGTAAATAAGAAATCACTTTCTTGAAGATATTTAATAGCCAAAAGATACCTTTTCTACAAAGCCGCAGGCATATTGTGGCATAGAAAATTGGCATAAGTCTTCAACAGTAGAATTGAGATCTCCCCTGAAACAAAGAAAAGAAAGTGATGAAACACTAGAGGTACCTGGAGCACCATTGGAAGAAAACTCAGAATAAGTCTGACTGGAGTGGGTAAACCCCATGTTAGGATTTGCAGTATCTTAAAGCAATGAGAATAGTGAAATGTGACACTATTATTGTGTCTACTATGTGCTTCCCAGTGGCCCTATCTTGGTGACCTGGTCCCTATTGGGTAGAGACAGGCCACAGGACCATCTGCATGGCTGCTATGAGGTATATTGTGGTCATCTGGGAGATAAAAACACCGATCTGCTCCAGCCTGAACTCTGACTGGACAAGTTCAATTGAGGTACCTGGAGCTTAGCTTTGTGGTATGATATGGGATGATTTTGAACTAGTGATTCCTGAGAAAGTGCTGTTATCTTGGCCCCACCTGAATCATGAGAATGGTCAGGGAAGTGACCTGTAGTTGGATCCAACCTTCCTTTTTGGGGAAATATTGTTAAGAATGTGGCCAGACTGCTGCTACAGGAAACCCTGCAGGAAGCAGATTAACTAGATCCATTTCAGTTGGTTTTCAGGCCAGCATTTAGTACAGCGATAGGCTTAGTCACATAGGTGACCTGTGGCAGACCTAGGATAGAGGTGGCACATCCATTTTTGTGCAACTTCTTAGCAGCTTATGGTACCATGAACCCAGTTCTTCTAGACAATTCTGGATGGCGACAATGTTTTCGGTGATTCTTTCTTTCAGGGCAGGATATATACAGATAGTCCTTGATTTATGACTGTACTGGAGACTGCCCATTAATGTTGCAGGTGGTGATGGCCACTAATTGAGATGGCCTCACTTAATGACCCTTACTCCTGCTCTTCCTGGGCTGGAAGCAGGCCATTAAATGATGCAGCTGGCTGAGGAGCGACTGAACCCTGCAATTCCCTGGGTTAAGGTTAAGGTTAAGGTTAATTTAATTTGTATACCGCCCTTCTCCCGTAGGACTCAGGGCGGTTCACAGCATATTAAAAACACAAATACAATATACAGGATACAAAAAAAATCATACAAAAATACACAAAATAACCCCACTAAAACCTAATTAAAAGCCAAATATTGATTGCTGTGTTCCCATTAAAATTACTT